AGCGTCAGTCTTGAGCGTGGTTAGAAACATTAAGTCCCACGTAGACACCAGCTCCACAAGGTCTGCTCTGCTTCCCCCGATGACAGTAATGATAAAGGAGGAGGGAGTTACATCCCACTGCAGAATCCACTGCTGTGAGCTTCTTCTATCCCTCTCCTCTCGGCAACCAAACTGTTGGTGCAGGAAACTCTTGCCCTCTGCAAAATAACCTTTAACACTTTTTTTTTGGTTTTGTCTTAAATCCTCCTTTCTCTTCAGGGTGGAAAAAAGCAACTGGTTTAGTACAGTTCCTGGGTGGTGATCCCAGCAGGAAAAAAGCCAAGCTAATAACTTCCATCAACGCCAAAGCACTGCTGTCCTTTACCGCATATAAGTTACGCATGCAGCCATCTCTGACATGATTCCTACACTCAAAATAGAAAACATTCATAGCCTGTGAGGTTTCCAGACCTTCATCGTGCCTGTAAGATTCTGGACACTCTGCCAAGAGATTACCTGTTTTGAGCATTTAGTGCATTCAATGCTTTGAGACTATGCTTCAGGCCACGTATAGTAGCTTCAAAAAAAGCCGAGGACAAACCATTTAGTTTTCACAGTTGGGTTTTCAGTGAGGGGCACACTGTTTATTCTCCACTGCAGGTGGGTATGAAAGCGATTTACCGCTACACATACAGAAGAGGCAGCTATTTTGGGAGAAGGAAAAAAAATAAAGCTTTTTGGAATTCCATACCCCAAACAAAGCATTTTAGATTGTTTTTCTAACTCTCAGAATAAGGCTCTTTTCCCCTTTCCAAGTAGAAGAATCATATTGAAAGGATCCTTTCAAGTGTTTTGTTTGTGTAAATCAGTCCGGAGATGAAATGGAAGAGGCAGCATAAAACCCACGTTCAGAAGCTATACCGTACACCCTTATCTATACAGCAGCAGACAGCAACACACAATAATATTGTCTATTCCCAGAAAATCTCCCTCTGATTTTCAAAATGATGAAGAATGCCAAAGTCCTTTATAAGTAGGACTGGCGCTAAGAACCCAACAAAGCACCAGCAGCAAGTCCTCTCGTGCTGAATGAAAGGCCACAGGACATGGAAATTGGACGAGAAAAGGGGACCACCTGTCTCTTCCCACAAAAACGAAAACACACCCACCCCCCTGTGCACGTACATTAAAAATAATACAATCAAAATGAGGGACTCATACAGGGACAGAGAACTAACAATGACACACAAGGCTGTCATCCACAAAAACTGAAAGTGTATTTTGTCCTAAGTGAACAGTCCAAGAAGAGCACCCTTACCTGACTCTTACCATGCTCTGAAAAGGTGTTCCCCCAAAACACACCCTGATTATTCAGTGGGGCAGAGCCAGAGCTGAGACTATCAGTTTTGTTTCAAATGCCATGAATGCTGTTTTTTCACAATGTTCTCTAGAAGAAGGCTCAGGCTAAGTGCCCGATAGCAAAGTACGGCACTGATATTCAGAAGCAAAGCACCTGCTTCAGAGAAATTTGGAATCCTAACCCATGTTCCCATGAACAGGTCAGCTTGCAACCTTACCGGATGGTAAATTCCAGCAGTTCCTGTATGCCCTGCGGGTCAAGGTGCTGAAGGTTGTAAACCCTCTCCAGGCTCTGATGCAAGAACTGCTGGGAAGGATCTTCATGTGGTGTAATACTGGGAGAGACAGGGGAGGACACCAGCTTTCTACCTGGCAACTAAGCAAGAAGAAACACATGCATACAGAACAGTCTAGCACAAATAACAACACTGCAAAACGCTGCCATGTTTAACAACCACCAACTGAAAGCTCTGATTTATTTCTCAAATTCAAAATTTCTATCAAGGCTTTCAAGTCTGCATCTTTGTTATTTAATACTCTCCATTTTATAATCCACTTGCAGAGCTCTTCAGGTTAAACTTCAACATCCCTTTGAGGGAAACATCTTCCTCATCTATTAAGTATGACACTGTGAAGTCAAAGGAAGTCCAAGACCACACAAACCGCAATTCATTTTATGAGCTGTAATAAGACTTATGACCAACTTCAGTCCCACCTGTACTTCCATGCAATTAAAGCATGCTTCAAAGCAGCAGGGAACACATCTCACCCACAAGTAAACCATTTAGGTAGGACACAAGTCAAATGTTGGAAGATCTACAAAGGCTAAGCTCCCCTTCCCCACACAGTCAGTGCTACAGAAAGCTCCCAGGACTCACGCCCTCCCACTATTCTTTCCTAACCAGCAAACCATGTGCTGTTCTCACTTGAGAGCAATAATGTTATTATTCTCCCCAAGATATTACAAAATCCATACTGTAACAATTTAATATTTGGCTCTCCTTACTTAACGTATGTTTCAATATTCATTCACTGGGTGTTTGGGAGAAAAACCTTTTAGAATCAGTGTTACACACGGACAGACACAGAAGAGACCAGCAATATTCTCAACAGAGTGGTGAAGTGCAAACCAAAGTGGTTCAACTTACTCTTAACGGAGGGACCAGATGAGACAGACTGTCACGAAGATAGGCGTAATGTCTGAATGTATGATCAGAGAACAGGGCAGGCATTGTTGGGCAACTTTTAGCAGCATTAAAAATCAGAACCAGAACAGCGATGTCTATTGAAATGGATTGTTAAAGAAAAATAAACAACAGCAAGAATTGCTCCTTGGGGATGGCAAGTTAAAACAGCAACAACAACTCAACAACCCTTTCTTTGCTGGAAGTTTTTTACAGTTGGAGAATGCTGAGCAAAACCCAAAGAGGCAGCTGTCTGAGCAGATGAAAACAAAGCACAAACATTACAGGACGGGCCATATTGGAGGAAGGATGTTACTGCCAATGTGGGACGGCTCAGAGGCGACAGGGATTATAAATGCAGAACATTCTCATGAGGTGGAGTTTCACTCTTCCTCAAAGCTTACACTGTGCTTACCAGTTTGGTACCCAAACACCACCTAAAATTAAACATTTACCTCTGAGTCTTTGAAAATGGCTGCACTTCCTACGATGCCCTGAAAAACATCCCTCTCACAAAGACTTAAAACAAACCAAAGAATCAAACACAGGAAGATGATTCTGGAATAGAGAAAACATTTTCACAGTCTGAGAGCCCGAGTAATGCAGAGGGCAGCCAAAGACTTTAATCAGCTAGCCCAAAGGCTGGGGCACTCACCTGCAACAAGGCTGACCCCAAGTGTAAGATCTCTAACAGGAGAGTGTGAAAGGATCCCAATGCAAAGCTTATAATCATCTGGGCACTTGCCTGCATGGGGAAGAAGTAGGTTCAGCCACAGAAGGGACTGAATCCACTCTCTCACCTCCTGAAAAATCCATGGGCTGCCAAGCACAAAGATTTTGACTTGACAAAACAGCTTCTCCCTCTTTACCCAAAATCCTTTCCAAATTTTCAGCTGAAGCTATTCAGCTAACCTGATTCAAATTTGCTACGTGCTTTGAATCCAACAAAACCATGTTTTTAATTAACAGTTTACACTGGAAACATACCATTCAGGTCTACCTTGTAGTTTCTGGCACCCAAGGCCTGTCTTCACGTAATATAGCTCCATAAAATTTGGTGGCAAGTTACCTCCAGAACATCCTCTAAAATAGTAATTTTTTGGTTCAGGGGAGGAAGGTGCATTGAGCTAAATAACAGCTTTCTCCCTGCCCCAATGTTCCTTCAATTCTCAACTCATAGGACAAAATTACTCAAATTATTACTCAATCATCTGATTATGGATTAATCTTGCTCTCCACCTGATTCTAGCCCTTTTCAATTCTCACAAGGTATTTATTTAATCTGTGTAGAATTTCTAGCTGATGGCCTGTGACTGGTGAGAGAAATAAGGAGTAGCTTCACAGAGGAAGAGAGTTGTTCCAGTCTAATATGTCTCAGCATGCATCAGAAATAACATGACATTCTGCAATCGCACAGAAGGGAAGCAAGGAGAATGAACAATGGAAAAATGGTATTTTGCATTTCCAAGGCATCTCCTATTGTTAAGGATAATGGTATTACAATAATAGTTTGTATTCTAAAGTGCTAGAAGAGCTAACATTAATATAAGGATTTCTGATTTCAAATTATTTCAAAACGATGATAAATTTATAGCATTATGGGGATTCAGCCACTGCTGTACTAAGAGACGGTGCTGTTCTGTACGCTCCACAACAGTGAGGATAGGAGACGTTTTACCTAAAAAGAAAACAGACAAGGAAAACCACTCTTCTTATTTAAAAGCTAAAGCATCTTCAAAATTAGCGCAAACTAGACAAACGTTTTCACATCAAAGGACTCATCTGCAACGCCTAAACCTTGACAAATTGCTTGATAAACATATTATTCAACACAGCATAAATAAAGGCCAATTATACCACATTGGTATTTATGAAGATGGTTCCAGATAATAGTTATTCCATCACCTGCTGAGTAATAAAACTAAGCAGCAAAGGAATTCAGAAATAGCTACAGGATTGTCTGCTACAGTTTGAAATGGTTTAACAAATGTAAGCATCAGGAAAATATGAATAAAATCTATTACAGTCAAAATGATCAACTGGCTTCATTAAAAAGATACAGGCTGGGTCATCCATGTCTGGTTCTGGCGTGTCAAAGAACGGATGTGTGCTCAGCAGCTCTGGGACTAACGGAAGCACCAAAGTGGGATGCCTGCTTCCCAAGAACTTCAAGCATCTGAAAATACACAGATTGAAATATTTCTTAGTAAACGTGCACATTGCAAAATACATTATTTTAAAGCATTATTACTTCATGTTGCAGCAGCACTTTGAGGTGCTGGTCAGCATCAAAATCCTGCCGTCCAAGCATATGGGCAAACTCACGGCAACACTGTCTCTTCACAGCTGAGTATGTGCATTAATATTTGATAGGATCCAAGAAAACTGAGAGGACAGCTTGAAAAAGCAAGCAGTAATAAAAATTGTTTATTTAAACTGAGAAATACTTAACACCTAGAGCTATACAATCCAAGAAAAGCTTACATACTAACAAATGAGTGTATTTTTTTTCTTCAGAAATGAGGGAGTGAAGAGGTAAAAATCCAACCAAATAACAAAACCCCAAACTCCACCAAACTCCAAAACCAATGTAAGAGTACACTGGAAGACAGAGAAGACTAAAATAAGTGTTTCCAATAATACCCAAGAATTCCATCTCAAACCATGTGTGCTGGAGTATCACTTCCTTTGTTGCTTCCATTAAACAACCAAAAAAACCCCACACAAACGTTGCTTATTTTTGCTCAGACAGAAAAAGTCCCTCCAACAGCACAATGCCACATAGCCAATCCACTTGTCACAACTCATATAATCAACTGCTGGTAAATATTACTATTTAATGCAGTGTCAAGTAAGCACAAAACATTAGTTACATAGAAGAGATGAGGTTTTAAGCTGAAGGTTGAATCCATCTTTTCTGGGAATGCTTTGAGTGCTTGTAAGAGAGGGCTATTTCCAGGAGTGGTCATCAGTTCTGGATTCCCAGTACAAGTATCAACAAGCAAGAACAACACAGAGTTTCTACATCAGTCATGATTATGTACAATGCTTAGTATAGACACTATTCCAAATATATATATAATAACAAGATTCTATACCTGCAATACCTGCTACCTCTTTAGCTAGCTCAGTATTTGCCTAACACCTCAATTACTAAAAAGAATAGGAAAATAAGTAGACACACAAGGACACTGAACGCACTCACTTCCATATGGATTCTCTGTCTGTGGGATACTTAGTTAGGTTTTTCAGCAGCTCCACCAGTGCAAGATGGATGCCTTCTTTAGTTGAGACATTGGTGCAACACAACAGTTCATGAAGCGCTTCCCGAATGTCCCTTGAAGAATCCTAAAAAAAATGACCCAGACACCTTTGAGTGCCAAGACAGAAGATGTGCCTGCATATACAGTTCCTGTTCCTCAGCTGAATTAGTACTAGAGGCATCTGAAAAACAGCGCACGTTTCTAGTTATCATAGCTAAGATGAAGCGACAGACCAGGCAACGGCTGCAGGGTCTCCTGCTGGTCCCATCCACCCACGTGCTTCATTTACTGGAATGAATGGGAACTGCTTCACTGCTGACCTTCTCAAGCAGAGCAAAAATCACTGTTTGGTTTGGGTGATGTCGTACCCTTAGGCATAGGCAATAACACAAAAGGAAAGCACTGGGTAACTCAGCAAAACAATCACTGAAAATTGTTTTATCGTCTTTGGAGAAGCCTTTTATCATTCAATAGCTGCAGCGCAATTCCACAAGCCTTTAACCCAGTCACCAGCCTCCAGGGGGTTTGCGTAAGCATTGAAGACATGTCAACGGCTGGACAGACCTGATGAACAGTGGTCATCTATAGGATAAAGGAACTTGACCTAACTACGGGTTTATAGAAGGACAATTAAAAAAAAAAACAAAACAAAACACACAAGTTCGGTCAGGAACTTTGTTATGATCGTATGGGATCCCTAATGCACCACTTCTCAAGGCACATTGCACCCATTTTATTTTTTAGGCCAGGGTGATGTTGTACAGAGGAGCTTAGGCAATCTCCAAGCAGTATTTTTAGAAGTGCCATGGCTGAACTCCAGCTTAATTAATTACATTCCTTCTGCCAAAAAACACCTTGCTGTTCCATATCAATGTATTATACTTCCTTGCTATCAGCATTTGCGTGGCACTGCCGGATAGAGTGTGGAAATTTGACAGGATAGAAGAATGGGATACATTTCAATGGTGGATTTTTTTTTAAATTATAATTTGCTAAGTATAAACAGCAACAGTCATTCATCACTGTCTTACACAAAAGAAGAAAGAGCAGTCCTCTTGTAAAGGCTCTTAAATGACGGCAAACACACACAAATCATCAAAGGAGAAAAGCAGAGCAGGGCTGCTCAGCCATTCCTTATTTTGATGGTGGAAGGCAGACTATGACCAAAAGAGAAGATGTACTCTAAGGACTGGAATGAAATGACCACGGAGACAAAATACTCCAGGTGAGTTGCATGGACCACTGGAAGGGCAGTACAGAGACAAGCGAGGCAGAAGACTATGAAGGGACAGAGAGGAGCACAACTCAACAGAAACTGAGATCAAGGACAACAGGAAAAGCAGAATCCAAAGCCTGGTCAAAAAAGCAAGGAATACCTGGTAGAGTTATTCAGATAAAGTCAAAGCAGTAGGGTGAAAACAGAAGTTACCCCGTCCCCAACTGTTCCATATTTACACTCTCAGAACAAACTTAGGCACCAAAGTTAATGCTATTTTTCCAAATCCTTTATGTTATTTTATGGAATGCAAGCAAGCACCTTTCAGAATCAGAGAAACCCATTAAAATGTCAATCATTCTCACACTTTAGCTATCGTAATACCTGATAATAATTATGATAACGTAAACCATAATACATGTATGATTTATCACACATGATACATCAGCACAGAAGTGTAAGACAGAACCCCAGTCTAACTAGGATGTTTTTATACATTGATGCACAAATCCCCAGCTTGAACAAACACAAATCAACTACATAAAAATTTGAGGTGCCTAAAACTCATTGCTGCATTTGCAAATTCAGACCATATCCCATAGCATTTGTTAGACTGATAAAATAGGTTAGTTAGTTTGCTTCTTCCGGGGGCACAACTGAAAGAAGCCACTGTTGCCCTGGGTCAAGCAAACAGCAGGTGAAAAGACAGAAATAGCAGATTTGCAGCACCACCCAAGGCTGGCAGATGACCCAAAAGAAGCAGAAACTTGCCTGCCACATGCAGCAGAATCAAAAAAAACACGCCTTAGGGCCTATAGCTCAGCAAATAAACCAGGTCTGAGGGGAAGCAGTTTGGGACAGCACTGTTCATACAGGTGAAATCTCTTCCCCTTCCTGGATCAAAGCCATCAACCAGGAACAGCAGCTGACTCATGCTGTCCTCTGGCTGAGCACTGACTGGTTGGGAAAGGCCAAGTCTATACTGCAGAGCACGCTAACAAACCCCCTGAACAGTCAGAAGAGAGATCTCAGGTCCGTACCCTGTCTCTGCTTGGTGAGCAAAGGCATAGCCAAAGCAGCTGAACAAAGGAAACAGAAAGGAAATGAAGTTGTATTCAACATGAAGTGATGCAGAGTGCTGGACCACAAAACAAGACAGAAGGAAACACACATGAGGCAACAGCACAGTGATCAAGGGAAGAGTTTTTATCTCAAATTCATCTATTTCAAAAGTATTCTGTTGTCCTGGAGTTTACAAGCTACTAGACCTTAGGAGTCTTTGGCGGTATTCAAAGGAGAGGAAACAAAAACCAACAACAAAAAAAGGTGGACAGTTTCAGCTCAGAGGAAGGGGCTGATTGGCTTTATATAATTCTAACACCTCAAAGAAAACAGGAATGCAATTTTTTCCCTCCTCAGGAATTTCTTACCTCCAAGACGGCTAACACAGTATCCAGCTGGTCTTCCCGCAGTGTGATGTTGTTGGAAATTTTTCTCATTGTGTGTATTGACTGCAATCTCACCTCCTCAATTTCATCATTAAACATGTCAACCAAAAAATCCAGGCATTTCTCCGCAAAAGAAGGCGAGGACTGAGCCAACATACAGAGGGCTTCAACCGCAGCGATCCGAACCTCTATTAAAAGAGAGGGAGGGAATTAATTGTTAGTGCTGTTTAAAAGGACATACCACCCAACAGCCAGGCCTCATATAGTTCAAGGACTGGACTAAGGGCAGGAGATGCCAACGAAACCCTGAGGATGATGGAGACTAAGCAAGGACCCATACCATTAGGGACCTTTTCACCAGCAAGCCTTCAAATCAAAAGCCTCACCTCTAATACAGCGCATCCTGCTGTGGTAAGCACCTGCAGAGGGACCTGCAGGTGAAAAACAGGTCTCCCATGCAGCAATAAATATTATGTATTTCATAGTGCACTTTGCAAGTGTAGCTATAACCCTGGTATCTTAAGCAAACTAATTTAGATAATTAAACTCTGCTTGTTTTATCCTTCCTGACATTTTAATTGCCCAGAGCACTCACTGCATTTTTAACTTGCTACGTAGCACTTCATGAATTGCTGAAAGGCCCTAGAGTATGCATTTCAACAGTAAACAGAATGAAATTCCTCTGCTTCGTGACTTTGGATTCCTCAAAAGAAAGGAAAAAGGTGCCACCTAATTATTAAAACTACTCAGAATTTAAGCAAAAAAGCATCAAAAAGTGTCCAGAGTGTATTCATGCTGTAAAACATAGCAGGAATTTGAAGAATACCCAGATATAACAAGCTTAAGTGGAGATGAGATTCTCTTCCCTGCAGCCATCCTCTCTAGCTTCCATAACATTTTTATTATCCCAGCACATAAATAAGAATTAATCTGCTGTCTTGCAAACATTATTGTTTTAAACATACTTTTATTTTTCATTCAAATTAGCTCATCTCGAAAACATTTACTTAAACTCATGTGTAGCTTTTAGACCTATTGTTCTTAAAGAACATACTTGATTCCTGATGATTCTGATTAAGTAGAAAAATGCAAACACAGCAAGACCCTGCTTATTCAGTAACGAAGCTTTTGTCACAACTACGAGTCTCCGTGGTCATTAAGACCAAGGTATTAGAGAAGAAAAACATTGTGCTAATATTGCTTTCATAAGCTGACAGACTAATTTAGATTTAAGTGACAACATGGAATTCAAGAAATGAAGCAGTGCTATGAGTAAGGAAGAAGAGAGCTCAGCAGTATTTAAAAATGCTGCAGTGGGAGAAGACATCTACATTATTTAAAGATCTGTGTATATTCCACGTCTGTCCATTTTATCAACATTCCCAATAGCACCATACTGCTACAAGACCTACGGCACAAGAAATGGGAGAACGTGTTTCACAGGTCAATGGACTGAGCCAGTGAAAAATTTTTTACTGTTAGTCGGAAAAAAACCAAGTTGCATTTTCAAGCTTCAGGGAGAGTTTAGCTATTAGGAAAACATGCTTTTATTTGCAGGAGTCATGGAGCAATAAACCAATTTTTACAACACAATCTACAGCAGTATGTTTGTTATGGTGGTTTTGTACCTTCTGATTTAGCCTCATCCTTCCAGTAACATTAAAAGCAAATTCAGGAATAACATTCAGAGCTTGGTATTTTCACGGTTCTATGCAAATACCAGCCATCCTCAATGGCCTTAAGAAATATAAATCTTCATTTTACTCACAGGAAAATTGGGCTGGAAAGGGTAGCACACAGACTTTCCTGAGATTGTCAGCATGGTCAATGCCACAGCCAAACTTAGGAGCTCAGGAATGCGTGTGTTCCAGTTTGACACTCATAATTTACCCTGCTCAGAAGAACAGATCAGATCTAATCTGCTGGAAAGAGACTACAGCCTCCAAATCCATCATAGCAAGACCTCAAGAGATCAAAACAATAGCACCGTAGAACAGTTAAACGTGATCTTAGAACACAGGTATTTGCATTAAAGAAAAAGAATTATCAATAACATTGCTAAAGATGTAAGTAAGACCTCACCTGAAATTTAAGTACCTGAAAACTTACAGATCTAGCCACCAGTTTTCAAGAATAACTCATTCTAGCTGGCGAAGAGTAAAGCTTTTATAGCAGCAGAGACTAAAAGGAGCCTAGCTTGTTTAGCCCCTTGCAAAATGAAAGTTGTCTATTAATTCATTAGGGAAGCCAGTCCCCAGAGAGAAGCAGCAACTATTAATCTGAAACCTACCGCTGACTAAGAACAAATGGGCATAAATTGGCCATGGAAAAAATTGGGTCGGAAATTAAAAGAAAACTTCTGTTTGTTGGAGCTGGTGGATTCTGAAGTATTTAGAAAAATATGTGGATTTGTCTCCACTAGTTATAGCCTTTGTTATGTTTACAAAATGAATGATTACTGAGCTCCATGGACACAGGCTCCTTGAAGTGTTAAGTTTTAAACAAGTTCTATAAAATTTTATTTTCCTTCTTGCAGAGAAAACACCAATTTCAAACAGCAGCAACTTATGTTGCCAATTCAGAGCCATATGCAACTGTTAAATCTAAGTCAATAATAAAAAAAAATAACCCTAGTGGGTTGGGTTTCTGAATAACATAAGCGACCACTTTTTACCAGATATTTTACTAAAACTTTACCGTTTATAGGAAGCTATTTGTTTTTGGCTACTCAATGGAACATTTCTATCCAAAATTCTGTGCAACACTGTTGCAGGTTTGAAACAAATGCTATATCAGGCCTAACAACAGAATAAAAACCCACCATCCTGACATCCATGATTCGTTAAAAAAAAGCCAAACACAACAGCCAAGTGATCTATTTTGACCAAAAAACCCCCCAAGCCCAAAGCTTATTAGCCAGCACACATCTCCTCCTTGACTAATTCCATAATAAGTTAACACTTACCATACATCTCATCTTCCAGGCCATGAACAAAAGCCCCACAAGCTCCCGATTCAATCAAGTTTACAGCACCTGTATCAATTTCTTCTTTGGGAGCATCATCTCCCCACTTTCTGCCACTTGAAAACTCCCCAGAGCTGTAGAGTTCTTTGGCTCGTTCATGCGCAGTGCGTTTCCTCTGTCCAAAGAAGTTTTTCAGTTACAACCATGGTAAACTTTAAAGATGACCGAACAAAATATTAAATGGTTTTACTGGATTTGAAAATAGATGTAGCCAGAGGCTTAGATATTGACAGAGACAGGCAAATGCTAAGAAAAGCAAATAATACCTTCTCTTCTATGAATAGTTCTAATTGCCAGTAACTCTTTGTACTTTTGATGTTGGGAAAGGATAATAATTAATACATTTTAATTAACATATTCTTAGACATCCATTATAAGAATTAAAAAAAAAAAAAAACCCAGCCAAACTGGGTCAGAGCAAAAGCCCATCTAGTTAAGTATCCAATAACAGATGCTATTACTTTGTAGTTCAACTTGTTAAACTGCAATTAAATACTTCAATGACTATCAGTACTATACAGTGTTCAGCAATGTGTAAAGTGCAGTATTCATTTGGCATGCTCACTAGTCCATCTCCTTTCCCCCCACACTGTAAAGCAAGCTGTGCAGCATTTTAATGGACTTCACAAAGTAGCCCATAAAAACTAGCAGCTCTAGCTTCATCATTCTTTTGTAGACTGAAAAACTGAACGTTATACCTTGAGCAAGTTGCTTAAGGAAGGAATTTTACTGAAAAGTTTTGCTTGTAGGGCTCAGAGCTCCGAGCCTCTAGCTACTCATGTCTCTTGAAATGTCTAGGTCCACTGGTTGGATCTTGCAGGAAATTTTCCATAAGCTTGCTCCTAAAACTAGGATGCAATCTTTCCATACACAATAAATAAAGCTTTTAGCGAAAAGGCTGTCAGAAGAACACAAACATTTACCTCTCATCTGCAAAACCTGAATAGCCTAGAGCTGTTTATTACATGCTCAGCTAATGAAATCTAAAACTAGCAATTGCTTCATCTGAAAGAAAACCTGTAATTATCAATTAACTCTCAGCAGCCCTGAGGCAAGGACATGGTAAACAAACACACTCAACATTAACATACCTGTTGTGCAATTTTAGTACACTACACACAGTAAAAATGAACCCAAACATTTACATACCCTCAGATCTGACATGAGCTTCTTGTCAAGGGTCTGCTCTAAGAAATGGGAGCTAACTTGTTGCATAGAACCCTAAAGAGGGGGGAAAAAAAATCAAAAGGAAGAAACAGGATTATTCTAAACTACATCATATAATTTCCTGATTTATCCTAACACAGCGTCCAATCTTATCCACTCATTCCAATAGCTTTATAGAATGCTCAACACTACTGTATGTCAGAGTCTAAAGAAGTTTACTTAAGACGGTCAGAAGATCTTATTTTCCCACTGAGGTTAACACAGTCTTTCTTGAGTTCAATTGATTTACATGTCCTGTGCTGGAGAAGTAGGGGGAAGGAATTATGACAAGTACTTGTTTTCCTCTTGGGATACCCAACCCTCTACTCTCAAGGAAAGTATCGCTGAGGAGTTCAGCTGAGAAACTTTTGGGTTTCCTCAACACCTCTCATTTCTTCTCAGAATTTTGGTAGAAATTTACCTATATGGTAAATATGCGTTTCTTTTCAAATACACGTGAAAAGTAAAGTAGCATAAGATGAACTATTTTCAGATAGAGAAGAAAAGAATGCAACTTACCAATAACTTAGCAGCTTGTACTCTAACAACCCAGGAACCATCGCTAACCATATGACAAATTTTTCCAAATGCATCATCAACCAAGCGAATTTCTTCATTAGAAGAAGGAATTGGGACAATGCTAACATAGAGAAACAGAAATGAGTATGATGATCTTATGCCATGCTGGATAGCATCAAGCAAGAAATAACTATGCTGAATTCCTACAGATGTGCAACAAATACCAAGAATTAAAAACTTCATCCAGATCAGTGCATTCTTATCAGGTATCAGCAACTTGTCCACATCAGTTTTCTAACAGCTACTCCTGAGACTTACTAGCACAAAACTCTCAGGATTAGGATGATTACTATGCCAACACTTTGAGTCACTTTGCATACAGCACATACCTTTCAGGATAAAGTTGACTGAGGACCCAAATTAGCTGGACTGCAGCACTACGCACTTGCTCATAATCATCTGCCAACAGCTTGCAGGCCTGAAAGAAGATTCACAGTCCAATCTACCTGAAACATCTCCACCAGAGCTGTCATTCACTTCCCACAGCGGATTTAGGATCCTTACGATAAATCAGTTAGGACAGATTATAAATCAGGACAAATTCAGTTCTTCCTCCTATTCCCTAGTATTTCCAAGTTTGATTAGGTAGACTAGTCCTAATAAGGTCAACCATGCACATGCTGTAAAACTCCAGAATTGCCTGTACCACATAGGAAGCACGAAATGCGAATCTGTAGCAGAACTAATTTGATACAGGCTTCAGCTGTGCAACTTTATTGACATAACAAATATAGGCTTAATGCGTACTCTCCAATGAACAAGGGTTTAAGACTTCGAGATTGCCAGATGACAGTAATAATTACATAATGCCCTGTCCTTTCCATGATTATCTCCCCCAATAAACAATATATTCCAATCAAAGCACGTGCTTTACTGCGTTTAAGCACAACAAAATGCAAAACAGATTTTTATTTCCACTGCCACAGGGCAATAAGGAATACAAGCAACCTAAGTGCAAAATACTCCACCTCTGTTCAATGCCCTCCCCCTCTCAAACCACATTGTCACAGAATCTAAAAAGCAAGATATACAAACAAGTACAAAATAAATACAAATTAATACAAGGTTTTACCTGACTGTAAATAGCCTGCTGTAATTTTAATCCTCTTTCATGAAGCTGCAGCTACAGAAAAACACAAGAAAGTGTAACTACAGGCTTAAGTGACACAGACTAAGTTTTCACCTCTGTTTTTTCTGCCTTGAGTAAACTTAGTTGCTTGAATTTCTTGATTGCTGCTATAATTAAAATATTTCATTATCTGGGCCATAAGTATTTTAAAAAATAATCTTGACTTCAGTATAATTTTTTTAAACTTCACAGCCATTCATACTTTGATTGATTAGGAAAATACAATTTATATAAATTTATAAAAAAAAAAT